TCATGGCAGGCAGAGTCCTTTTTCCTGTAGCATTTAAATTAACACTGCTTCAAAGGTCTTGCCCCTTTTGCTACTCTATAAACGACAAAGACGACATCAGGGCATCATAACATAATGGCTTCTGATGCTTTTTCAAACTGCTTCTGATAAAATACGGACATTTGCTGTACCTGTTGCTCCTTCTAATGGCTGGATACGAATCAACTGCAATGCCACTCTGCTGCTGCTTAAAAAGCCACAGTAGCGTGTGGGGTGAGAGCGCCTTTGTTCTGCTTCTCGTGGCTGGCAGCGCTGCCGAGCTGGGCAAGGAGCTCCCCTGAGAGCCTGGCGTGCCAATGCTAAAAATCTTAATGTTTGCAATTCTTCACACATTTGGATGAAAGGCGCTATAGAGCTTTCAAGTCAAATATTTTTAATTAGTTAAACTTGAACATACACATGCAAGCAACACCGAGTACAAACATTAAGCAAAGTTGGTGGATAGGGTTACATTATCATGTAAGAACCATCTAAATCAATATATTTTTCCATATTTAGAACTCCATATTCACCCCTCTCACTCCTCAGTTACTCTAAATGAAAATAAGGCTGTTCATCTTCCATTCCAATTCTCTTTTTCTTTTTATAATCCAAGGATGGTTTTTGCAACAGGCTTTCCAGATAAAACAACTTGTCACTTTTTTCTTCACGCTTTTTCAGATGAAGCATCTCAGGTTTTCAGAGATTCTGATCACTAACAGGATGTTGCTTTTAATCCAGTGGGGTACAGTGAAATTTGTTTTACATATACAAAGCTCATTGCGCAGCTTTCCACAGAGACAGAGTGGTGTGTTCTTGGCGCAGCACTAGAACCAGCGTTTTCAGGCCTTTGGCACAGACATACATCACTTTGAGCATGGCAGACCAGTTTCTGGCTAGGGAGAAATCACCCAATAACAATATAAGATAGCTGAATAGAAGATAGCTGAACGATAGAGAGATTTTACGATGTTACCGTTTCCCATACAACCTGTGATTAAATGAAAAACAAGTATAGCCCGTTTCATAGGATCTTAAGGTTGCATTCGGTGCACACCTGTTCTTCCAGGACTAATGACACTCCAACACAGCGACTGAAAGAATTCAGTTGCACTCGGTACTGTGACGATTTGCCAGCAGGCCGATAGCAGGGAGCCCAGAGCAGACCACCGTGAACACTCAAGGAGTTAGAAAACATGACCCATCAAAAGAGCCTGAGGGATACGGCCGCTCAAAAACAGTTAAGAGACCTTTAAAATGACAGGCAGCCGCAAGGAGGGAAGTCAGCCCTTTCCCACGTCTCTTGAGGCATAATACCGTCACAGATTATAAGCTGAGCTAGAAAGTATAGTTTGGTCAGTAAGGAAAACCTCCTAAATGTACAGATATTTAGACACTGGAGTGGATGACCAAAGGAAGCTTCATTGATGAGATCTAAGAAAAAGGCTGGCCATCTGTCGATGATACACAGTTAATTCTCCCTTCAAGGTAGAACAAATTTCTATGGTCCTGTCACGCCTATTTTCTCTAATTTTATGATCATGTTTCAAGTGATTTATTAGGGTGCTTCTTCCCAGCAAACACCATTCTAAAACTCCACCATGTCTTTTCTTACTCACATCTTAAGATTTACTGAGACAGGCAAACTTCAGACTTTTCCATAATAAAATAGGCTAGTACAAATCCTCAGAGAATACTCCCTAACACCTATGTCTGGAAAGGATGGATCTGACTATAAAATAAATATATACATATATATAACCTGTTAAAAACAGCACTGTCTCATTTTCCAGGAACGCAGTGTTTAAAGGGGTCATTAAAATGGAAAATTATCCACTGTATTGCCATTCCTGCATAAATTACAGCAGTATTAGAAAAAGACGGCAGCACCAGTATTTTTGGGAGGAAAAGAGAATTTGTTAAAAAGAGCATCAACAGACAAAAATCACTAAAGATGGTACCAAAAGTAATTAATTCACTATGTCCCCCTGATACACAGGCTTAGTCTCACATATAGGAACTGCCGAATCATTCACCATTCCCTTTTTCTTGAAGCTTAACAGCAATGAATTAAGCATCTGATACACCAGAAACTGGAAAAAAAAAGTGACACAGGTTCTTGGGATTTCATTTAATTAGTAATTCTTAAAATTCCTTTAAAGAAACTTGAAAAGCAAAACCCTCTCATGAGAAAATATTGTAAAATCATATGGCTAGCTCTTGTACCTTTTTTAAGTAACATCAGCTACCTTATCCGAAGGTCAGAGATCCTCAGTAGTACTGCAATGCCCAGGAATACGGATGAGCATAGTTAGCAGCTGAGATTGGGGAAGATATGCTCTCTTCTGACAATATCTGTACACCGTATAAATATCACCAATGCACTACGTTCGTCTCCTTAACAGTAAAGGAAAAACCATCACTGGCAACGCAATGCTGTTTGATCGTGCTCTACAGGCGGTCCCGCTAACTCCAGGCAAACAGCCTGCGCTACCTGCTCCCGTTTTAGGTGAATCTGGTTTTGATAGCGTTAGTATGGGTCCGGCCTCAATTGGCTCCTCAACAGACAGCTCTGCTATCGTTCTGTACCGGCTGAAAGGGAAGGGACTTTCCAAGTCTTTACCTCCATGAATCAAGAGAGGTTTGAAAAAGAACCTGCGTTGTGTCTAGTCACAAAGCATCTCACTGGTACGGGGTATTAAAACCACGTCTGCACAAAAGAATCCGGGAAAGGAGAAAGGGTACAAGCGATTAGACCTGAGAGCGACAGCCAGGCTGCTTAACCGCACGATCGAGTCACCACGTAGAGATAAGAGATGCCAAACATCATCTTGGCCAGAGGCAGGGAATTACAGGAAAATTTTATGCTGAGGAGAATGGTTAGGGAAAATGAGATTTGGCTTTTGCTTTTAATTCAGGGTTGAGGCAAAAGGTGTAAAAATAAACAAAACATGTAGCAGGGTTAAAAATCAGAATTGGAAACTAAGTGCAATTTATGATCTTTATGGTTCAGAGTCCAAGCAGCTTTCAATTCTTTCTAAAATACTGTCAAAACAGAGAAGATTGACCGCACAAAGAAAACTGAAACATTGAGCAGCCGGGAGCGGGGGGGGCAAAGAAACAAAGTCATATAGATTCAGCTTATCATTAAATGACTAAGAATATTAACCAGCTATCTTGATCAATTAAACAGCTAATTGTAATGCTTGTTTTATTCTACCATAGTTGGAAGGAAAACTGAAAATTTCCACAGCAATAAGAAAAAAACAACCAACATTGCTGTGAGTAAAGAACCAGCTTTACCTTGAGAAAACTCGGTATCGCAAAGTTAAGAGACAGAACAAGTCTGTTTAACCCATCTTCTACTGTACACTCACACACATATTTAATGAAACTAATTACTGTTGCTCACCACCAGACTTATCTGAAACAAATCCTTTATGGTTTCCTGAAATAGGATAATGATGATTTTTTTTTTTTTAAATAAATGCTAGTTTGGGCACTGATAATCATTTGCTATGAAGAGTCTAGTGGTGACTGGCGTTTTTTTGTTTTACTGCATTATACAGAAGTCGTGCAAAATTGCTTCATTCAATTCTTCATGAATAATAAACCAGTCATACTTCTTGCTGGGATTCTCACTGGGATTGCTACAATCGTATTTATACATTTTTTACTCCAGCAGAAACAGTTTCTTTCAACTTCTTGTACTTTCTTCTTCTTCTGTACTTAAGTTACCAAGCCAGAGGAATCAGACATCCTCCAATTCTGGTGAGGATGTCAGCTCTATTTAGTCAATAAGATCCTTTATGTTAATATGGTGAAAGACCACGTGGTCATTATGCAATCCACAATTTTAAGCTTATTTAAGTTTTATGAGCTGTAGAAAAACGTTTATAAAGAGTAGTTAAGACTTTGGCATTTCAATTTCCTCCCTACTTCTGAAGGGTAAAGCCCAACTCCAAGGCCTTGTTCAGTTCCCGTTAACACTCTATGTTCATGTTGTTACGACTTACAGCAGTTCTGCAAGTTTCCCTAATTAATGGTCTTAAAAGTTTAAGAAGCTTTCTTCCAAGAGCACACCCTCGACGTGCCCCCTCATTTAAGCATAGCACGTCCTTCTTTCCTCCCAGTACAAGCCCTAGGAAAGATTTCACACTAGCAAATCATCTCGCTAGGCCCTCTCATCTTGGTTTCTTCGGAGCCCTAACAAATTAACTTGTCTTTTCATTAAGACAGAAGAAATTCGGTCTAGATAATTTCTAACTAAAAAACCCAGATCTTAAATATGCACACTGCCATCAAGACCAGCATCAAGAGGCCTCCGCAACACCAGTGCTCAAGGGACACTCTGCAGATAATAGACCCCTCATCAAAAGATAAGGAAATCTCATTTAGATGCAGAAGTGAAATAGTAACATTTTCAACACAGACTAACAAAAAACATCCCCCAACAATATACTGCTTAAATTCATTTTGTGACGTGCATCCCAAGAAAATAAAAATAATCTTCCCATGAGTACAGCCTCAAAGACCACACTAACTCCAGCACTTGCGCACAATTAGATTACGTGGCTTCAACAATCATATAGGCAGAGCCCAGCTTTTTAACTGAACCTTAGAAACAGCCATACAAGTGTGTCTCACACACCTTATCAGATGTATTAACCTTAAACAAAATGGTCTCAGTTGAGGTGTCTTTCAGACTGAAGTTGCAAGGAACTTAAACGAAGGCAGTACGACTTCAGAAAAGGCAACGTGATTTTAGTGATAATGGCCTGACAGTAAAGCATTATAGCAAACCTTCTTTTCTGAATAACTGCTAATAACTCACAGTTCCAAAAACCTAAAATACGGATTATTAGGCCTGCTACTTCCCTTTTCAGCTTAGGTCCATCCTTTATTTTGGGATCACACCAGATGAACCATGCAAAAACAAACCATGACAACACACACACACAAGAGCAGCCTTGGAAACTTACCCCTCCTGACAACTTAATCACCCTGACTTTGCTGCCGACATGGGGCCCGTCTCCACTACCACTGTTTGTGCGCTGCATAACAGTCCTTTTCACACCGGGTTTCAGCTCCTGGGGCCGGGCTTGCACTGAAGCCACTCTAGCAGTCTGTGTTGCAGGCAGCGACACCGCAGCTGGTTTTGGCTGCAATACCTTCGGCGATGCCTGAGGCTGACTCGGAGGTATCGTTCTGGTCTGCCTCAGCTGTTTCACTGGTTTCATTTGCTGTCCTTGATACTGCATATTGGCCCCAACCTGCGGGAAATCTGTGGGTTTGGGTTGGATGTGTGGAACTACCATATCTTGCTTTTTAATGAGGAGTCTGTTTTTCACATTTGGCCTGGTCTGGAAGCCAGAGTGGGGTATGTAAGGGTTGCCGTTGGTGGGGAACTCGTAGGATTCCTCTTCCTGCTGCATGTAGGATGGCTGCGTGGAAGGTTGTTGCTGCTGCTGCTGCTGCGCAAGCCTTTCGAGCAGTTCTCTCTTTCTAGCGCCAGCCTGCTGCTGCCGTCTCAACTCCTTCTGCTTCAGGATTTCTTCTCTTAGACGCTTCTGCTCCTCTATCTTCAAACGATACAATCTAGTTTCTTCATCTTCATCTGGATACTACAAAGGAGAATACAAATACAGTTGTCAAACTCTCAACACATGCCTGCCTTGGCCAAAATAACGTTAAATTGTTGTTTCAGAAGATGTCATAATGGCACAACTCTCTAAAGGGCTTCTGAAATCATCCCTGCTGCCAAGCTACGGCTACTAGCAGCACGTATCTGCTAGCAAGGTTTATTTGCTATTCATTAGAGACAAACAGCTCAAATATGGTTTAGGACTTAGATACACTACTTCCTAGACAGGAAAAAAAGAAGCTATAATACCAGTTGAGAAATCTTATCAGAATACTAAAAAATGAAGTCTTACAAATTGGAACTCATTTATAAGTTTCTAAAAGCAATTAAACTATTAATATAATTCAAGATATCAAAATATGTTTCAAACGGAAAGTAACAGTATAGAGGCAACCCACTGTCACACAGGTTTTATCTTGCTCTTTTCTGACAAAGTAACAAAAGGTAGGGTGGTAAATGACCTGAAAGGCCCTGATTAGAACTATTGATTTTTCTCACAGAATTTTCAGCCTGATCTCAAACTCATTTGTCACACAATAATTGGTTATAATGAACAGCACAAGTCAATCTCTCTGACCTTGAACTCATGCACTCTCTTCAGAATCAAAATGTTGCCAAACGCAGTGTTGGAATATTAATGGTACGTAGAGAACGCCTTTAATATTCCAGCCCTAGGCCCTTCTGAAAGTATTATACACTATCAAATAACCTTTCTAAAGATTCTTCAACTTTGGCAGAACGGGCTCCTACGAAAAGCTGTGTGAAATGGACAGAGTCAAGGAAACGCAAATTCTCACCATCCTGGAAAAGAAATCAAATTGCTCTTCTGATACAATCAGAGATAGCTTGAAAGCTTGTTATTTTTTTTTAATTACAAAGCATACTTTTTTTGTAAATTCAGTTTTTATTTCCTACAGGTGAAGATTTTTCAGCAGTCTCTACAATTCTCTAGTTAAAATTTCGACAGATATTCTACTTTCAAGTAAGACATATTGATTGCCTCTAATAAGAATAGGCTCTCCAAGCAACTTTGCATTTTGGTAAATTACAGCATAAATAATGCTAAAACGTTTCTCGAAAACTGACTCAGTGATGAGCAGTTATTTACCTTACAGTAACTGGGGTGCAAACTCTTGCTATTTTTCACATGTATCTGACCCAAATGTACAAGGATATATTTTTTCGGTTGAAGTGTCTTTTATCCCTAATACCTCCCAGAATCCTCCCCAACCCAAGGGGAAAAAACAGCAGATCCGATCCAACCGTATCGTTGGTTCACAGACATAACAGCCCAGTAGAGTAGTAGTTTATATCTGCAGAATCCAGACGTGCAAGTCTTGAACACTTGTTTCCTTCTGATGTAACTGCTGCTTCTCTGAGCACCTATCCACGGGGATTACTCCCACGGTAACTAAGAAATAGCTGCTTGTTTCCTACTAGGAGTCTTGCCTAAACAATGGCTAAAATACAACTTCAACAAAACTGGATTTTTTTTTTCTTTTTCTTTAAACAGGGGATATAGTTCTGGAATGAGTTCTGTCCTTTTTAGGAGAATGCTTCATAGACCAAAACGTTCTGAACTTCCTCTACACTTTTCAGACTAGGATTACGGTGATTAATGACTATAAGGGCTAGATTATGGGTCTTTGATAAATGGTAACAGGAACACATTTTTACAAACTAAAAAGGGTGTGTGTATGTGTGTGGGGAGGAGGACTGAGGTATTTAACCTTATAGTGAAAACTGGAGATTCTGGATTCGATTATAAGAAGAATAAGACCACTAACAAATACAGTAAACAGTATAAGGCTCTTATGTTTTCTGATATGCTAGCTATATTAAAGAAAATAGAAAAAATAAAAAGTAAGGATAAGAAAATACAGATAACCTCCAGACAGAAGGAGAATGTGCTGCTATGTAGATCCCGATACTGTGAATAGAAATTTTAGTCACTTTCAAAGACAGTAAATATCTCACAATTACTGAAACTAAACTGAAAATATGTTCTATTTATCTTAATAAATCAGTGTATTCATTTGCTTTATTTTAGATCAGAATACTCTGCGTTTTATCTAAATGGGTTTGATGGATGCCAGTGAATCAGTACCAAATTCACCTTAGGAGGCGGCAACGTATTTTTTCCCCCCCGTTATAGTCAACTGAAGGGTGTCAATATTTGCAAGAGTCTGCATAAGGCTAGCTCTTCAACCAGCTGTCCTTTACTATCGGGAAACCATCTGCTTATACCATTATCTGACTAGTACAAAACACTAACTCAAAAGCCACCTATTATCAGAAGAGAGATGTGTACTTTGTGGCACACATGAAATGAGTCTTTCCAGCAGACCAGGAATAAACATCCCGAGGGACTGTGACCAACGCATCCATGCAGCACCTCTTGGATCTAGCTGATCTGCACTGATCAACGGCACTAGCATTAAACACAGAACACTGACAAACTGTATTACTAGTATATATGCAGTTAGAGGAATGCTCTTAGGGGAATCTTCAGGCAACATGATCTCAAATATCTTTTGGAATTTTTCCTTTCAGGAACTCAACCCAATACTCTGGAGATTAATGCGGATACTATGAACTCAACCCCTTCTTAAAGGGTCAGTTTTGAAATCAAGAGCAAAGAGCTCTCAGATTATTTGAACTAAGTTGCCAGTTTTCCGAGGTTACTGCAGATCAGCCCATTAACAGGGTAAGCAGACCTAAATCCTTCATCTCCAGAAGCAAACTGCTGCTATTGCTAAATCTTCAGTAAATACTCCTGCCACTAGAGGAAGACCAAACAGTATAAAGAATCCTTTCCTCGTTAACAAAGGATTTGCAGTACGAGTCAGATTTTGTTTGGAGTTAATTGTGCAACATCCCAACAGTAAAGATTCGAATGCATGGCAAACTCCTCACTAGGATGAAAACCGTGCTAACTAAAGCCCATTAGCTTTAAGAGCACCTCTTCTCCTACGTCATTAGGAGCTTCCTCAGATAAAGGACAGGGAAGAGAAACAGTGGAATGGATCAGGATGGAAGTGGCATGCAATACCTACTGCTAATGATTTTCATCCCATTAGTTTATTGAACCCAGGACAGTTTTCTCCAAAACCAGCAGCATTTTACCAAAAAAAGGGACTGGGAGAAAGCAGACATCCCTCAAAGATACCACAATGCTCACAGCTGTTTGGAAGCGTGCTGACAAAAGTAAGAGCAGCTATAGCTAAAGATGCAGTATAACTTGCAGCAGGCTTTTTCCCTAGATAAGCTCTTGATCCTTTACCCTTTTTTCTTTTCCTGAGGAACTCCGCAGCACAAAGAAACAGTACACTGTACCCGACGCCTCTTTTTAGGGAAGGCTACAGCGCACTAGGCAAGAGATGCAAAGTGGAGATCCTCATCCGTCCTTGAAGAGTTCTTAAACACAAGATATTTCATTGTGGTTTGGAGGGAAGATCAAGCTTTAGCTTGAAGTCCAAAGAGACTTTACAGAAAGTGCCAAAAGAAAATGTTACAAGCTGCTTTCCTGAGTCCAGCCGCAAGAGCGGCAATAGCTCTAAATCATCCTCTATCTAAGAGGACTTAGAATGGCACTGTTGAGGTCAAAGACCCCAAAGTAGTATGCCCTAAAATGAGAGATCAAACTTGTGCTGTAATTTAAGTCTAGTACCAGTAGCTACAAGTACTAAACTTGCTTCTCATATAGTAAATTAAACAAACAAACAAAAACCTACATAAGAAAAAGCTTTTTGGAGGTCTGCAGCTTTTACTACTAATTAATAAAATTAAATGCAGAGCCACAAAGCTTGAATAGCGCAAGTATTCTGCCTTGCTATCAAGGAACAAAAAAAGAACTGTGCAGCCAGATTGACTTGTGCTCCTCAGTAGAATGGATGCAAGGACAGAGGGGATGGCTCCAATGGACACCATCAGTCAAAACAGTTTCATTTGTGGCATATACACATGAACCCGTGTGTTCAGCAGATTTGCAGTTTGTTTTCCAGTTGTAATTTCAGGAAAAAAAGAGAGGCTAGAATCATTTGTCCAAAAATTCCTGACAAGTCTCTATAAAAAACACGGTCAGATCCAAATGATAACATTTTGCTGCTTGTGTTCAGAACCACAAGTTACCCTAAATAAAGGCATCTAACACATTATATATTTTACACAACTGATGAAATTAGCTCCTACACCCCTAAGAAGGTACAGGTCATCCTACAGAACATATATACTGTACATCTTAGACAAACAAGAAAAGAGTTAAGAATGAGGTTAAAGTTACTTTGAGAAGCACACTGCCCTCTTGTGATCTTCTAACTGGAAAAAGACTGTGGTAAGATGAATTCTCTAAACACAAAGACAGTAGGCACCATTATTAAAGTTTGGAAAATAAGCCTATTCAAACCACAAAAACTCCGAATGTAGACACTTACAAATTTTTTCAGGCAATTGATTTCTAAAAAGATAAAAAGATTCAGACACATTTGCTTGATAACCTAACATAGCATCTATTTTCTGTACTGCAAGTCCTGTAAAATAAACCCCACCAACATTAAACCCAGCGAAGCAACTTCAACAGTAACTGCACTTGGAAGAATGAAATGTAAAAGCTGACTGTAAATATATTAGCAGCATTAATTGCAATAAGTGGTAATATTAGTACACCTTGGACTACAGCACTTGCACAGCGCTCTATTTAATTTCCCTCCTGTTCTGAGTTCCAATACCTCATTTATTCTGAAGAATTTTACTTCACCTTTCTATGCCCCCCCTTTTTTTTTAAGCTCAAAAGGGCCTAATATTGTCTTAATTCTTCGCATCCTAAACTAGCCTCAACATGAGCAGAATTAGACTAATAGCCACCACCCACCGTTCCCAATTTCACTGGCAAAATGAAATGTAATCTTGAAAAATAACAGCTATTCTAAACATAGCCATTTAAGAGTCAGTATTTTGCAGCCTCCAAGAGAATCTGAACACAGGCATACTATTAGGAAAGTTGAATTATAGTTTGTGTCTTCTAGTCACTCAGGTTGCAAGCTTCTAAAATATCAGAATTTTGAAGGTAAGAGAAAACCTGTAATAGCCAATATTGCTATTCTTTGTGGCTCCTGAATGCCATGGCATTCATAAAAAAAAGTCCTAATAATTTTCCAGCTGAAGAAACTTGCAAAATGACCTGCCTAAGTCAGTTATGAGCAATACAGCTAGAAAAGATGACAGAACTTAGCTATTTCTCATCTTCATAGACAGAAAAAGAGCAGGATGAAGTTAATTACAAAAACAACAAGCAAAAAAGACTGCAAAGCATTAAAGTCTGCCTTAAGGACAAAAGTGTAATAACCTACGTTACAATAACAGTGAAGAAGAAGAAAAAAGATTAAATATTTGAAAATGAAAGTTACTAGTACCGCAATCATCCGTTTGTAAAAGTGACAATAGCAGGCACCAGTGAACAGGACTGGCACAGTTGAAAGGGGACAACTGCTATTACACTGTTGTTCGCAGCACGTGGCTCTCTTTCAACTTCCCTTTAAAACAAGAAGTGCTCCCTGTGCACGCCGCACGCACATTCACACACTTTCAGTGACTGTGTGCCTGTGTAGGCTTTACTGTCATGATTAATATTAGGAAGCACTAGGAAATGCATCAGTTCTTCCAGGGCAACAAGATATCACAACTTGTTTCCAAAGATAGCCTTGATATAGAAAGAAAAAGGAAGCTTAATTTTGCAAAACTAACAATTCACATGAACGTGATTAGTTAGTTAAAGGGTGGTTAGGACATGTTTAAAACTTCAAATGGAGAGAACAAGATGACTTTTTTTTTTTTTAAATTCATTTGATCAAGACTGAAAAATATCAGTTCATTTTTCTAAACACTGGCAGAGATATTTTAGGACTAATGTCTTAAATTTCATATGACTAAAATATGAAAGAACTATAAAATGTTTTAGATGGTGAGGCCTGTGTCTGCTTTGCATAGGCTTACACAACTTAACTTTACTAATGGCCTGAAACACAGGGACTTCCTTATAAGGTATGGGATTTTCTGTAACTTAGATTACTCAGAGAGACTGAATTGAGGAGAAAGGGATTACTAAAGTCATTTTTGCAAAAAAGATCAAAATTAAAGCTGAAAAGGTGAAATAAAGGGTTTTTTTTTTTTTATATTCCTGTTGAAAAGCAAGTGCACAGCAGGTCAAACACTGCTAGCTATGGATTTTTTTTGTGTTTCATTTGTGGAAATTCGGGATGGTCATAACTAATTCAAGAACAAGATGTGGAGCTAATAACCAGCAGCTTAAAGGGAAGAAAGTATTATCACAACTAAAGCTTTCAACAGCTCTCGAAAGAAATCTGGTCCTTGAGGCAAGATTCACGGTCAACTCGACTACAGAGATTTACAGTTCTGCTCGAAATAACCTGACATTCAGAAACCGTACGGGATTCATTTAACCATCACGTTTCTCTAGCACCTCCTGATGTTCAGTATGAACAGCATCATCAGCACAATCCTATCCCCTTTCTCTCACGTTAACAGCACACATGGAGTCTCTTCTCTAGCGTCCAAGAGCAGCTGTGCAGGGAGGCGGTCACCTGTTCAGCCCATGATCCAGGCACCTCATTTTTTATTCTGCAGAGTATTAGCAGAGCAAATGGTATCTTTTTTCTAAAAAGGAAACGCTCTTAAGTTCTCCAGTTTTTCCTAGATTAGAGATCATGACAAAAGGTTGTGTAAAAGAGGCATTTCCTTCAAGAGCAAGGAGCTCCACAGATGATGCAGAAGCAGCTTCCTACAAGAGTGCTCAAGACCCTAGAAGAGACCGGACAGTCTGAAGAAAAACAGCATTAAGAAAATGGCTCTCTAAATAGACAATTTTTTTGAGGTATAAAGCATCAAAGGAAACACCAGAGAAGCGGTTTTTTGTTTAGAAGGAAACACTGAGCTGAAAAAAATTGGCCAGAATTGCTGTAAGATAAGAAAAGACACAGTGGATATTTCAGAGGCTGGTATCGGTTGATGACCCTGCCTCAATCTCTGCCTTGTCACAGTAGAAATGATCCCAACTCCCAACCCCTGCCAACCTTCCAGACCTTTTTTCTGGTTAGTGGAGACTGTTCTTCCCATCACACTAAACAGGAAAATGCATTTCAGAAGAGAGGCCTCTAGTGGCGCCAAAAAAACAAACACACACACACCCCCAAGAAACAGACAGACCAAAAAAAACCCTTTACCTCCGGTTCAGATTTTACTTCTGATTTTGCTTGACCGATTGGTGTGATTGCTTTAGCTTTCATCTCAGGCCTCCCCTGCGAGTTTCCAACACCAGCTACAGACTTGGTGGCAGACATGGTGCTGGTAATGGGTTTGACCTGAGCAGCTGGAGTAGAAGTTCTCCTGTTGTTGCTCACTTCCATCGCATGTGACGGTGCTATTGGCAACTCACGCAAGTTGCTATTTCTCGCGGCAGTTGTTTGCAGCTGCTGATTTGAACGCTTGACAATATTCTGGGAGGGTGTGTTCTGAAAAGCAGAAAGAAAAAAATGCAAAGACTTTCACCACAAGCAAGATTAAAAGTGTTCCCTCTTTCAGATTTTTCATGATTGAGCTAGGCTTCCAAGTCTGGCAAAGAGCAACTGTATTTTTAAGGTACGAAGAAAAGTTATAGAAATGAGAACATCCGAACAACAGCGTCATTTTTAATTAAAAGCAAAAATCTAGTCTCACTTGCCTACATCTTTCTCAGACGTGCGTTTCACTAAGCGATTTATTTTCCTAAGCAAAGCGGTTGTTCTGATTTGCAATCGTACTGAGTAGCTACAGACGTTGCTGCAGAGGGACTGTTGTGCCACCCCAACCTACCATACCGAATACACTGCACTGGAGCAAATTCACTAGAGGGTTTTGACACCTGTGCTTCCACGCCCGTTACACGTGCACAGCTAAGGGAGGGGACGCCAGCGGTACTTACATGCCTGGGCTTCATGGGCCCCTGTCGCTGCTGGCACTGCATGCGGTTGTTGTTGGGCTGCTGCTGCGTGGCCGGCATGTGGGGCCGGAACTGCGGCTGGTTCATGGGCATGAGGGGCTGCGGCGGGCCCTGCAGGTGGTGATGGTGCTGCTGGGGCTGCGGCTGCTGCTGGTGGTGGTGCTGCTGCTGCTGGTGGTGGTG